TGATTTAAAATTTTAAAATATTACATTTGTGTATAATTTTTAAAAATATTGTCATCAGTTTAATGAACAACAGAGCTATCAATTTTATTAATTTCTCTTCAAACCCCTTATGTATTTCCGATGTAATCTTCAAAGCATAAGTGCACCTCCATTTTAGATCCCTACTATCGCCGTGTTCTCGATAGGGAAAAACAAGATAGACCCCTCCACAAATCGGCTAAACGACGGGTGTAATGGTGGCAGGAGGCAGGAGGTGCATGTTCTACCGATTAACATATCCGGCGCTTATACCTGTGTACATTTCTGCCTGTACGATTGTACATAGCCACAAACATTCAGTTTTGTTTAATGTTTAATGTTCTGTTTTTTGTTTTGGTTTTATTTCGGTTTTTGTGGCTGCCTAGCGCCATCTGATTGTCTGGCTGCATGTTCACCGGCCATATTAATAATTTTGAGGCGTTTTTTGATTTAGGGAGCATTTAAAGCGTGAACGACTGCATCAATAATTTCGCTTGCAATTTTATTGTGCATAAATTTCATTAATTTATAATTTTGGCCGTCGCTGGCTGCGGCTAACATCCGACCCGCTGATCTCGGTTCGCTGTTTGCTGTTGGATGTTGGCTGTTGGCTCTCGGCTGCCTTGTGCCTTCTTACTTTGCCTCCGCGGAGCATGTTGCGCCAATGTGTTGCCGCGGTCCGTCGACTGGGGCATAAATTATTTTCCGTAGTTTTGGCAGGCGCCCGATGACCGCGCGCTGCGTAGATTTCGCGATTGCGCATGAGGTGAGGGTTATTCATTTGCCTGCGTAGTCGACTCCAGCTCCCCAAGCTCCGAGCTCCGTCTCCATCCTCGCCCTCATCTCCAGGGGCTGCTCCTCTTCGGCCCGAATCTCTGACCGCCTGTGCCGAAACATACGCACTCTAAACAAATTTAGAGAACTTGATATTAAACCAAGAGCTTAAAACCTATCATTGTATTCAATTGTATTCAATTTTTTTAAACGATGTGCTCTTTCTAGCTTATATTCCCTATTTTGAGTCTTTAAAATAAAAACATACTTTTTTAAATACGCACTTTAAAAAAATTTAGAGAACTTAATATCAAACCAAGAGCTTGCGGGATCAAAGGTTCTGGTTATACTTATCAAAGAATTTTTATTCCTTTTTTTTAAACCATTTTCGCGCTAGTTTATAACCTCTAAGAAAATGTATACCAATTAATTTATAAATCTTTTTTAAATCCTTAATATTAAAGTTTTTATTTTTTGTGAAATTAAAAAAAACAAAATTCAAAAAATCATAAAACTATAATGACTAGAAATACATAAAAAATAAGTAAAGTTTGGGTTATAATAATGATATGATAAAATAATGATAAAAGGCTAAGAAACCAATTGCCTTCCTTTTTAGTCCTCTAAATTGAGGGTTTTAAAGTTATAATTTTTTAAGCAAGATTTATTTTAATTTTGTGGGTCTAAAATGGGACAAACTTTATGAATGAATTTTTGAAAAAGATGCAATAAGCATATCTCAGTTGAACTTTTAAATTAATATTGATTAACCTAAGACATTTCTAGTAAATATTTTTGTTATACCTAAACTTTAAATAAAATAAAATTAAATTTTTAGAACCCTTTTCTCCAAGTGCAAGCACGTTGCTGATTCGTCTGTAGGAGTATCTGCGGTTGTTGCCGCCGTTGTCGGTTGCTGGTGAGCTGGGGAGCTGCAGGCTTCATTGAGGAACTCGCGATTATGCTCGGACTTATGCTGGTTGTACGAGTGTTCGTATTTGGCCGGATCAGAACCGAGAGAGTCCTGCAACTGGGCCCGGCATGTCGCCTGCAAATGTCTTCGGTTTCTGGCCGCGCAGTTAATTATAAACGCTTGGACATTTTCGCTTGACTTCGCTTCGCATTGCCTTGCTTTGCATCGGTTTGTTTTCATTTCCAGATGCAGATTACATTATGATTTATGCAAAATAGTAAATGCGTCTGATGGCAACATGCGCCAGCTGCCAGACACGAAATCTCTTTTGGCCAACTCCTCATTGGGCCGTGTTCCTCGGAGTGCAGCCATCGCGATGATCATCGGAATTGGAATTAGAAGGCCCTAAGTTGCCGTTGAATTGAATCCGAATCCAAATCCGAGTCAAAACCAATTGGCGAAAAGGAGGGAGGTAATTCCCCCATACCGAATGGGAGTATTTAGCATCTCGCGATTTTATTCGAGCCCATTTGAGGCCAATCGTAAAGCAGCGACTGCCAATAAATCAGGAGCGCCATGAAGCGGCCTCGTAAAAGTGCTTAAATTAATCATCCCGAATGTGTGTCTCGGGTTTACGATGCCCAGATCCACGGGGCGCCCCCAAAGTCGCAACAGGTTGCCCCCGCTAAGCGCCATCCATCCCGATCATAGGCACCATAAACTTAACTTTAACTGCCCCGGATTGCTGGCATTTTGCATAACGAGACGTGCATGTCCGGTTGCCAATATCTGCATCTCTTAAGTTGTATCTGCGAATCTACATCTGCATCTCTCCGCCAGCCATCATATCAACTGGCTGTCGTCGCCGGGGAAAATACATAAAGGGAATTCGCCTGAGAAAATGGTCAGCGCTTTATTAAATACTCACTTTGATTTAGTGGGCCGGGCGATGGAAAATTGCGCTTGAAATTGCATTGTTATTACATGTTTGGGTCAGTGCAAATTAAATTCCATATAGAAAAGCAATCTGCCTGGCCGGCGTCGAGTGTATTTATTTTACAAAGATCGCGTACGTGACAAGGGGCAGGGTTTGGGGGCATGGGACAAGATGTTTAACAGCGAAAATGTGGTGCAAGTTTCCTGAAAGTCGAAAGGGTTCTCCCGCTCCACTGGATAGGGGCTCCCCGAATGCACTCAGAATCGCTATTAAATTAGTTTAGTGGCATTTAACTTAATCGCCTACAAGGGAGTTAAAATTTTCCAAGACAGTGTCTGCTGTTCTTCTGTCTCTCTCTTTCTTCCCGGGCTTTTGCAGGGCTCGACTTGGTCAAAAATTGGGCGGACGTGATTCGATTTTAAAGAAGCTCCCTGGCCTGATGGCAACAAGTGCTTTCGCCTTAATATCTTTGAATAGGCCACTCGCCGTTGGCCCTTTGGCAACCTGCATTATGGCCTAACTGCTCGCATCATCGCCCATCCGATTCGATTCGCCTCGATTCGATCCGATCCGCTGGCCAAATTGAGTTGTGCATCAAAAAAGCGACGGGTCCCCGGGGAAAATGCAACTGCATCGTGATGTCATCAGCTATCCATCCTACTCCTGCCCCCTGGCTCTCCTACATACGAGTATATCCTCTGGCCGCTGATATTCCTGATGCGTATGCTTAGTCCATATTCTTTGCATAAATCTCACCGATGTCCCCGGTTTGGACGGGGCTTGTAATTAAATTGCGACACGGGGCAGCTAATGGCGCCACAACATAGATTCGCTGGCAAACAAGCAGCCGGCATATGCATACAGACATGCACTGAAAAAAAATGTATTAAATAAGTTATCTTAACCACTGTTCCTCGAAAAATTGGCTAGCAAATGAATGGACTCATATAAAATTCTAAATTGTTAATCCTTCTTTTCTAAAACGAACTTCAAAAATGTTTAATCATTATAAAGATTATGATACTGTTATAATCAATTATAATAATAATTTATAATTTCTATTATATATTTTAATTAAAAGAAGTCCTTGTAGTCCAGCTAAAATATTTGCATTTAGAAATAGGTTGATTTAATCACTATAAATATTTTCTTGATTAAAAGCATACTTATTAACCAGTCAAGTTGATAACACTTCAAAAATCGTTCCTTTTACCCTTTATACCCGTTACTCGTTGAGTAAATCTAGAAGAAATTTTTCAAACCGCACTATTAATTTAAAAGATATGAGGAAATAATGGAATTCAAGCAGTGCAAGCTTATAGCTTTTTCTCTTGTTCAATTTTAAATTTATTTCCAAACAATCAATTAGAACAATCATCAATCAGCTTAAAAATCTTTATAAAAAAGGAGATTTAACTGGTATATTATTTTATCAGTGCACCTCCCGAAACGTCGGCAAGTGGAGATGCTCATGACAAAGCGGCGGGGACACGACCTCAGCGTACAGGGCACGTTTCTCAATGAAATTCCAGACCGCTCTCGTCGAGCGTTTCTGTGTGTTCCAGTCCAGCGTTGTCTGCCCGGTCATCAAATATCGGACTGGGCGACTGGGAGACTGGGGGCCCAAGTCGAAGTCGGAGCTGGGAAGTCGAAGTTGGAGCCACAAAAAGCACTACGCTACTTGGGCGGCGGCGACACGAAATGAGCGCCTGCAGTAGCCACTGCCACTGCCACTGCGGTTAATTAATTCTGCATGAAATTTAAGGTTTTTTGCGGCTACCCGGCCATAGTGCATATATGGCGAGTCATTGTCGCCGATCGGACGAGGATGGCCAGGATGTTGGCCACGTTGCTGCACGTACTGTTGTCTGTGGATCTGGATCTGGCTGCCCAGCTTCCCAGCTCCTGTCCTGTTTGTGTCCCCCAGTGCTTGCTAATCAGCCGCACCTCATCAGTCTGGCAAATCAAGTCATTAAGTTAACCGAGTGCCAAATGGAGCAAATAATGCTGCGGCTTCTCGTAGCTCGGATGCGCGTCTTGGGGGTTCGCCAGTGGGGCAGTAAAAAATCTCTCAATTAGTCAAACAATTAAATCAGCTATCGATCCGAACTTGAACTGATTTCATACGGGCATTACGTATTTAATTATTTACCTCAATTCACAGGCTTTTTTTGCTGAGTTAAAAGAATAAGATCGCTTGCCTTACTTGCAACACATCTTAATTGACTTTTATAGATCTCAGAAGGGGGATCTTACTTTTTCCTATCTATAAAATATATTTATCTATTGTACCTTCTATAGTTTTATATTATTTTAGGAAACAAGATATTAATCAATATTTTTTCTCTTTTCTTTCAGTGCCCTGCAACGGTAAGTTTGTGACAATTTTAAATATTCATCCTTTGCGGTAGAATACTTTTCGACCACCATTCAGAATGCAATAATTCCTTCTACCAATTTAATGCAAATGATTACACATACAAACCGTTTTCACGTTATAAAACAAAACCATTGACACGTTACTTTTTTATACCCTTGTAGAGGGTATTATAATTTCAGTCAGATGTTTGCAACGCAGTGAAGGAGACGTTTCCGACCACATAAAGTATATATATTCTTGATCAGCACCAATAGCCGAGTCTATCTAGCCATGTCCGTCTGTCCGTCTGTCCGTCTGTCCGTTTCTATGCGAACTAGTCTCTCAGTTTAAAAGCTATCGCGATGAAACTTTCCCGAAAGTCTTCTTTCTATTGCAGGTAGTACATATGTCGGAGCGAGCCGGATCGGACCACTATATCTTAAGGCTCCCATAGGAATATTCAAACAAATATAAGAAAATTCATTGTAACTGTAGGAAGTAGGCGTTTTGATTCTTGACAACTTAAAAACAAAATTTAATTACAAACGGAACTGGACCGAGTAAATACTACTTTATCTACAAGGGTATATAAGCTTCGGCTGGCCGAAGGTAGCTTCCTTTCTTGTTAACCATTTTTTTATAGTCAAGGCGGCATCTTAGTTGGCCTGAAATAAACCTGTTTTAAGCTAAATTCATTATCAGCAAAAACTTATTTTTACCACAAGGGTGTGCTTTCATTGCCACTTAATGCAAGGGTAAATTTTCCAATTATCTTTCCTTTTTCGTGTAAATGCAACATGGTTACCCCAAAATGATAACTTACAAAATATGCATAAATTTTATAATATATAGTTTACCCCAAAACCAAATAACTTAAATAAGAAATGTACTTTTTTTTGTAAAAAAAAAATAATTATGAGTAGAGCATGCAAATTGTCGATATTTTTGATATTTCAACAATATTGATATGATAATAACGATGTTTTGAATGGGAAAATATCAAGAAAAAGCAAACTCTCGATATTTTTCAAGCACTAGATATGAGGACTATTATATTTTCATTTAGAATTACATCTGTGTGGCGAATAACTTCAAAACAGTTTACTGAATCAGCTCCTACAATGTAGTCGTTTGTGTTAACATTTAGATATTATTGTACACGCGTGCCTGATATGTTGTTAATAGGTCTTGTGTGTCGGACAATATAAATGCACGAGCTGTTAAATGTCGCCAATGGCAAGGAGGTAAACACAATAAATGCATAAAAAAAACGGGAAAAACAATAATTTAGCTTAACAACTTAATAACAAAACAGCACTCTGCTGCCGATCACCTGTTCGCTTCGCCAGGCGACGAGGATCGTCATTCCTCGGACAGGAGCGAACCCTCATCGCAGCGACTACTGTGCGACTGACTGGATGATAAAAAACAAAAAAAAAACGAAAGTTAAAAAAATAAGCAACCTAAGCCCGGTCGCAGTTATGAGTTTCCACCTGTTCGCGAATTTATTGATTGCCACATTGACAAATGAGCCACCCTGCTGTTATAAAACCAATTAAAGGAAGGGTCCGTTTGCATGCCCGGCTCACTGGGATATTACGAATAAATTAGGTCTGGTGAGAATTAATTGGACAGTCGGGCCACCGGACACTCGGTGTGATATATAAATCATGGCAGCTACACCCAGAGAAATGTGGGACTATTTTTTAGGTAACGTATGACCTAAAAAATTTAAATAGACTAAAATTTCAGATTTAGGTAATGGGTTACCTAAAAATATTAGCATGTGGACTATGTTCCTACTTTTTAGGTAAAGCTAAAGAGATTTTTATAGGCCATCGTAACCTTCAAATTGGTCCATAAGACCTAAAATTTAGGAATAATTTAAAGTCGATTATCACTCACAACTTAATACAAATATTGGTCCCTAATATTAATAAACAAATTATTCGGTTTTTTAAGTTTAATGTTAAAAAATTTTTTAGACTTTTCTTAAAGCTAGTGATGGAAAAGTTTCAATATATAAAATCAATACCTACGTGGACTATTTTCCTACTTTTAAGGTAATAGTGCCCTATTCTAAAAATAGAATTCGCCTGAGCCCCTTGAAGCAGGCTTTGGTTTTGCCGCAGGGCCTTTAAGTAGTTCCGTAGACCAGAGGCTAGCCTATTGGACTCTCGCGCAGAAGACCCGGGATCGATTCCCACCGAGGACAAAATAAAGTGATTGTTTTTTCAGAAAGATAAAATATTTGCTTTTCCGAATAATACAATATAAGCAATTAAAATAATCAAATATGTTACTATCAATAGTAAAAATCCTAGCTTTTTTTTAAATACCTAATATTTAGGTAATTCTGACCTAAAAATCTAGTCCACTAGCCATTTTTTTAGGTAACCATTACCAGAAATAAATTCAAGACTGCGTACAAAATATAGTCCACATGGACAACATTTTAGGTAATGCATGGCCTTGGCGCGTTTTTCTGGCCATATTTCCTAAAATTTTAGGTAATTAGGCCCCTTTTTAGTCCATTTTGTTTTCTGGGTGTATGCGGCAATAACAGGATTATCCAACCTCGAATTAATTTGGTTTAGCGAGCGAAAGTGCGTCCGAAGCGCTCAAAATGCGTCAGAATCATGAATACACAAAGAAAAATAATTTTTAATATCATAAAAAAAAGCAATGTTATTTAAAAAGTCATAAAAATTTAATTTTTATTTTTTCCAAAACCAGAAAAATTATAACTGATTTAATACTTGAACCTTATTCTATAAAATAATGTTAAAAAAAGGAATATTGGCAGTTTGGTATTTCTCGATATTTAATTTTCTTAAAAACATCGAGTTCATCGAATTGATATTGTGAAAATATCGAAATTATCGATCATTTAAAGAGGAAAAGTTCAGGTTAGGTGGATGTAATTTTTAAGTCCAAGTATCCCTTCTATATAAAAGGTCTAAAAAATGATTAATTTACAACATATTCATAAAGAATGTTTATTTTCACCGAAAAGTCGATTAGATAATTGATTGTTCTTGGTGTTTTCCTTTCGCCGAGTGTACTAATTAGAGACACTCTCGGAGATGCCAATAAGTAGTGCCAGTGGCAGCGGCCGTCGCCAGGAAAGAGCACCTGCCAAAGCGGTCGACGCATCATTAATAATTCCGAGGGAGCGGCTAAGTCAGCCGCACGCATAATAACCACGATTAAAGCAAACAAGGCTCATTGTCGGTTAAATGACAAGTTTTGACAACTTGTGAAACGACAAGTGGCCAGCGATCGGCCCACGGACCAGTGACCAGAGACCACTGGCCAGTAACCAGGGACCAGAAACCCAAAAGAACAGGGACTGGGAGTGGACGAGGACGAGGGTCCACTCGGCAGCGACCCAGTTAAATTAATAATCCGCATAATTGGAGAACTTAACTTGCGAGCGAAAGAGAAAGGACATGGTGACGACAAAAAGAGCGTTATTTGCTTTGCGCTTAATATATCATTTAGATTGTTTGCCGCAGATAAAAACGCTGTGAAGACTTTGGCTGTCATTATTATTGTTGTTTTATTTTATCGTGCCGGGTGATTATTGCTGTTTCCTTGTAAAGATTGTTGGCTATTCTATTCGGAATGGCGTGGCAATTAGACCTAGTTGTCGATTTGGTCAGCTTGGCATATTGATTTAGAGGCCCCATTACATTTTTTGTCATGTGTGTATCATGACCACGCCGCACTGGCATGAATAGAAAATAATTGTTTCTATTTCACAATTATGTCCCGAAAGATTGGTGGCTTGCTTTTTTTCACTCTGGGAACTCGCACACCTTTCGACCATGATAGCCCAGCTAGATAGCATAATTGGAGTCTTAAATAGCCAGGGGTCAAATTATATTCTTTGCTGATTAAAATCATTGAATAGGCCAAACGATTTCGATATTGTAATTTAAGGGTATTACTATTTTTTTGGATAGACTGAAATGAATATACAATTGGTATTTAAAATTATATTTCAAAATCAAAATTAATGTTAAATATATAAATTGGAAACTTAATAAGTAATATCTTTATAAATACATTTTTTTTAATTAGAATAAATTAGAAACTTGATAAATTATATCTTTATAAATAAAATGTTTTTTTTTCGATAAACTAAAATTATTATACAATGGGTATCTGAATTAAAAGTTCAAGATAAATGATAAAAATATTTTAATTATAAACTTGATAAATTATTTCTTTATAAACAAAATGCATAATGATATTTATTTTAATACTAAATAATAATATCTACTGAGGTCTACCCACTTTACAAATTGTATTTTATACAACCGAAGCACCACCTAACATCCAATTTTAATTACTATTTCCATTCTAATGCTTTCTTTTTCGGTAATTTACAACCATGTACACGACGTTCGCTGATCGGAAACGAAAACAGGGCGTAAGTATAAACATGACCAGTCTAATATTTGGCTAACTTGGAAAAACAAACACAAATTAAACTCTCATTAATGACCTGGTTGGTTGCCAGCCCAGAAGAACATGACTCTGTTAGTCATTATTTCGAGATTGTCGAGGTCTCGACAGTCGAAAATGGTGCGAGTGCACCTTTAATGATAAATTAATTTGCGAGTAATCTCCAGAGCAATGTGCTGGCTGCTGCCCACCGGTGATCGGTGCGGTGGCTCTGATCCAAGTGCAATTACGGAAAAGAACAGGGAGTCTTAATTATAACCAGAGCAGCCATGTTAAACATGACAGTTTTCGTGTCCTGGCGATTCATCAAAATGACAGCTTCTGGGTTACAGCGGTCTCGTTTGCGGGGTCCGTCAAGCGATTCCCATTCTCGTTCCCATTCCCGTCTTATCAGCGCAATATCGAATTTCGATCAAAACGCCTCCGAGCGACGGCACGTCGGAAAAACAGGCGCTCGACTTTTGGCGCTAAACGAACATCCGCACATCGGAACCACGAACACTCTACTCGATCGCAGCCCGCATGGGCATTCCAGTTCGGCGACCCTCATTATCATACATAGTTGGCACCATTAGGGTCCTGCTTTGGGCCCAGGAGCAAGGACACTCGCTGGTATGACTAGCCGCACTTACGTCGCAGGACGCGATATCCATCTGCCAGAAAAATGAAATGAAGGGTTGTAATTGCCGTTGAAGCTGCCGGGATGTGTTATTAACTTGTTAAGCGAAAATGGCACATATAATATGCTCTTGCCGGTCTTATCCAAATCCTGCCAGAGGATCCACTCTTCTTTTTTTCGTTGTTTGACGAAGCTTAATTTGTGTCTGCTTTTCTGAGTGGTTTTTGGCGCTTTATCTTGAGCCTAATTATTAATTATACTTTTTGTTTTTATTTCACATGTTCAATGGATTGTTGGAACTCAGTATGTAAGTATAAAAAGTCCTTATTTCTTTTGGTAATAATTTAACTATTAAAAGATTATGATTAAGATTAGTGTGCATATACTTGAATTATTCCAACCAAAAAATTACTAAATTACTAAAACTCAGTATGTCAATTAAAAACGTCCTCATTCTAAAGGTAATAATTGAAATAAAGATTAAGATTAGTGTTAAAATATAGGATTTATTCCAACCAAAACTACCAAATTATTATTTTCAATTCATTGTACATTTTGTTATTCTTTTTGTTTAAAAACCTTCCTGTTCTGCAATATTACACATTTCTACAAATATTTTGTATATTATTATATAAATGTAATAATAATTTTTAATAATAACCACATAAATATAAGTACATATATAGGTACCAAACCATTTTTTCAACAGCTTATTTTTGCAAAAATATTTTATTAAAAAAAAGAAAAAGCTAACGCGAATACAAATTGATTTCTAAATCCCACTTTGTGAAATACAGCAAGGGAACCTTTATAAAATGCCCCGTATACCACCGTAAATAGTCGTCTCAAAACACCTTCAGAACTTAATGCTGTGTGAAATATTCGCAACATCCTTTTATGATCATGAAGCAATAACGGATCAGCAACACGGTTAAATGTCGCACGACCTAGGTATTGGAATCCGTGCTCCTGGAATTTCTGGGCATTTGCGTTCGGTGCGATGCGATGAGATGAGACGCAGGAAGGATTCCACGACGAAACGAAACGGAGGATCGGAGGATTGCAGATCCGGAGGAGAGGCAAATCGCTCTGTTTGCTTGCGGTGTGCCAATACAATGCCACAGCTGAACGAGACACAAGAATTTATGGCATTTCACTTTCAAAGACACAAAATTCCTGTCCCTTGCCACCATTAATGGAATGGACAATAAATTTAAACGTGCAGACGGACAACGTGCCATATGTAAAAAGGCTCAGACACTGTAGCGGCCACTTCCCGAAATGGCTAAAATCGCTCCGAAGCTCGGAAACTGCGCGTGAGACGATTTGTAAGGCCAAAACCGGTCGCAGCCTTTCAGCATCTGCCAACCAGCCAGCTAACAAGGCGATAATCCACGGACAATGCCAACTTCGATGCGAATCTCGGCCCTTTTATAATTAAACGTATGAAGGGAGAGAGATGAAGCCAGCTGGGTTATAAATTCTAAATTCTATTTATTGAGGAATAGAATAACTATGTATCTGGTCAAAAAGATAACAAGTTCATTTTAAATTGTTAGAGGCATTTAAAAGTTGAATAAACAAGCGTTTTTCGGCTTGGTAAATTATCATGTCATAAAGTGCTGATAACATGAATTTATTTTTCTAATGGAAATCATTTATTTTCTATATATTTGAAATATTTAGTTATAATTTAATATATTATCTAACAACAAATACTAGACAAGAACAATTAAAGTACAAATCCCTTGATTGCTTTATTGTTCTCCCAATGCCAACTCAATTTTTGCCACCATGTCGTATCTGTTGAGAATTTAATTCGCCTTATCTAATTTGAAAAAATGCGCTAATTGAATAGAGACGAGTCGCAGTATCAGTGTAACCAAATTATACCCACATTCCACCGCTCGCGATTCCCAACTTGCAGCTCCCGGCCGTGATCATTGGTTTGGCGAAAGACAATGGACGAGATTAAATGCCAGGCTGGGCAGATTAAGATGCATCGACAGCAATAACTACGTCAGCAATAGCAGCAGCAGGAGGAGCTGGAGCTGGATATTCTTAAACGGGAGACACGAAACAAATTTCCCTTGAAAAGAATTACATACCGATCGCCGGATCGGCGCAGACTATGGGAATTGACTGAAGCTGAAACTCTATTTGTTCGAACCGATCTTCGGCCGTTTTGCGATCTTCGCGTTTGTCGCCGCCGTCCAGAAAGTCAGAAAGTGACCGTCTTCATTGTCAACACATGGGAGATACGTACGTGGGCTGCAGTGCGGCGGCAAACAATTCTATAGAAAATCAGACATGCACCGCCGATGAAAATGCACTGCTGGCGATCTGGCCAAGATCTGCCGGCGAGGCGATCCTCCAGCTTCAGCTCCAGTTTAGCTCCGTTCCGTCCAGCAAACGGCTTATCGCAGCCGGGCGAATCGTTTTGCCATACTAAATTATTATGTTAACATGAAAATAATTGAGGCAACAGGCATTCGGCGGTGGCTGGCCAATTTATTTATATCGCTAAATCTCGGATACGGCAGCTGGGTCGAGTCCTCGTCGGCGTCCTCGTCCTCGCGTTTCGAGTTCGGCGGTCCAGAGGCCAATTGATGGCGGAACAAATAGTTCCAGAACTGGGGCATCTGCGACGCGATTGGGGCAGCGACTGCTAATCCAGCAGCTACTGTTCCAGATAGCGTGCTTACAATTAATCCCTCAACCTACTAATGATGTTATAATATTCATCAAAAATAATTAAAATTAATTAAGAATCTGTTGATAAATGGTAATCTTTTTTATAAACAGCGAAATCATTTTAATGCACAAACAATAAATTTACTAAAAGATCAGATTAATATGTGAGGGTTTATTTAATATTTTTTAAAGATCAAAGCACTCATATCATTTTGATGTGTTGAACAAATTTAAAACAGTATTTTCAAGACTTTTATGAAATGACAAAATATCAAGTTGATATGGTCGAATCATAAATTTAACATGAATCATATCGGCTTTTTATTGATATGAAATATCTCATATCGAATTTTTTTTTCTGTGTGTAGTTAAGACATTATTATCTTTATTCTTTAGTTAAGGTCATATTTTGTTTCCTAACTTGCAGAATAAATTTACAATTTATTCATATCATGATGTGAAGACAATACTAATCCCGTACTAATTCTTTTCAGACCGCCTTGCACTGGGCAGCCAAGCACGGCAATGAAGATGTGGTTAAACTAATTGCCGGCACCTATAGGGCAGATGTGAACGCCAGAACGGTAAGCGATTATCTCGGATGCAATCGTGTTAACTTGGAGATTTTAATATACCCTTTATTCCATGTGATCGCCCTCGCCAACTGTTGACGCCTTAGAACGGGGTGAGTGATATGTAAATCTATTGAGACACTTTTAATAATATACGAACCGACTTATTGGCTTGTCCCAGTCGCGCGTAAATGTGCGTCACATGTCACACAATCGCGTAACATAACCCTTTCCCGGGGGTTTTGGGCCGAAACTGAACCTGAAGAGGCGGAGAGCCAGGCTGTGACAAATCATGACGAGCATATCCAATTGGGCCTCACCAGCCTGTCGCCTCCAATCCAACTCAATCCTTTCAATGCGCATTCAAGTTTACAAAATTTTAAATTGAACGGTGCTTTGTTCCTGGGAAATTAAATTCACTCGAATGTATTAAAATGTCACATCCACATTTGAAACAAAGTGAATTGTCAATCACAGTCCGCAAGATTCGATACGGTGGTGCTGACGAAACATACCGCAAATGGCAAAACATGGTTTTATATGGACCACATGCAGAATTCACAGGGGAATGTAAAGCAATTATCAATGCGATTAGAGCTAGAGCTTAACAATAACGTTTACCTAAGATGTTCCAATTTTTGTATGACTTAAAAAAAGATTTCAATCTCCGATTGACTTTTAAGGTTAAAAATAAATAGTTTAGAAAGGAATTTCTTCTATTTACTACTATTTTTTGTATTGGCTTGTCTTTCTATTTATAAATTAATAAATATTTATTTATTTCATTTAGGGATACACACCCCTCCATTTGGCCACCCAGTTTGGAAGAGATAATATATTTGAATTACTATGGAATGTCTACAGTAAGTAATTAATAATATTATATTTTAAGTGCGTTTTTTAGTCCGCATGCTAAACTCACTTTTTGGTTTAAATTCTAAAATTCATTTCATATGGATTAGAAAACAGCTGTTAGGTTATTAAATAGAATTCGTTTTATTTGCTACTAAACCACCTTAAGATTGATTTATAATAATTAGTATAGATTATTTAAATACTGAACAAAGAAGACTAGAAAATCCTTTATATTTATACCCGTTACTCGTAGAGTAAAAGGGTATACTAGATTCGTGCAAAAGTATGTAACAGGTAGAAGGAAGCGTTTCTTACCCTATAAACTATATATATTCTTGATCAGGATCACTAGCCGAGTCGATCTAGCCATGTCCGTCTGTCCGTCTGTCCGTCTGTCCGTCTGTCTGTCCGTCTGTCTGTCTGTATGAACGCTGAGATCTCGGAAACTATAAAAGCTAGAAGATTGACATTTTACATGCAGATTCTAGGAGTTCCTACGCAGCGCAAGTTTGTTTCAAAAGGGTGCCACGCCCCCTCTAACGCCCACAATCGCTTATATACGATTTTAAAAATTTCAATATTTTGGAAAAGTAAAAATGCAGTTTTATTGTGTTTATCAATACCTATCGAAATGTAGAAGAAATTTTTTAAATCGGACCATTCGTTAAAAAGTTACGGCGGATCAAAGTTTTTCTCCATCTCCTTCGCACTCCTTTTAGCTGAGTAACGGGTATCTGATAGTCGGGGCACCCGACTATAGCGTTCTCTCTTGTTTTTTTTCCAAATATTTAAGAAAAATTAAAAAAAACAATAAAATCCTTTAAAACTCACTATGATAATACAAATTTTTCGTACACTTTTAGAGGCCAATAGGGACATCATGGACTGGAGTGGCAACAAGCCCCTGGACTACAGTCGCCAGCGGTCGAGTGTGTCCGCCTCGACGTGCAGCAGTGAGTATGAAAAGTATTTCTTCAGCGCGGAGGTGAACAACAACTACCACCTGGGATTCATTGAGAGTAGTCAAATAACCGGCGGTACACTGGGCAGTGCACTAACTCGCGGCAAGAAGCGGGCTCAGAATCGGTTTGCCACCATCAGCGGTGGTTCGGTCGGAGGCGGTGGGGCGGTGTCCCGGTCGCAGTCGATGATGGTCCACCGTCGGCCCAAGAAGTCACCGGGGCAACCGCTGTCGGGGATCTTCAAGCCCAGCACCGAGGACAGCGATCTGTTGCCCTGCGAAATGGAGGGACAGCCGGTTCCCTTTCGCGGCGCCACCACTCAACGCAAAGAAAGCTTTCTCCGCAAGACCTTTCGAGCCACCGCGGGTGGCAGTCGTCGCCAGTCCACCAAAGATGTTGTTACTAACCCACCAGAGCATGGTTAATTGGTACACTCGCTTGTCTTATAACCCTTCCGCTGTATTTACCCTTTCTAAAGTGTGCTAATGTATATACTTTTATATGTAACAATTTCCAAATACTTAGCTGGGGCTACATTTAACCACCTATGAAAAATTGTAAAAAACTAAACTTTTCATTATCTTATAAGTATCAAAAAGCATGGCCTTATTTTATTATATTTTTTACCAAGGTGTATCGATTAACTTAGTATAAGTAATCACCCTTTTATGTACATTCCTATAAATAATCGCATGTTTATTGGCACAGCCAAATGCAATAAAATACTTACACAATAAAAAGTTACTTATAACTATTAATATTTAAATGTCTGAAACAACCTGGAAACTAAACTTGTAACAGATTTTTGCAAGAAATAATACAAACCCAACTCAGTTCACAAAGAGAATGCGCTTTCGGAAATAATAGTATTTACCCCCGTTTGCAAACATTGCCCATCATCAACAAAACTTACTGAAAAGTAGAGTATACGAACTTTAAACTGAGCTAGTAATTAATATTAAATGGGAACCTCTATCTTTTTCAATTTTGCTGCATGCAGAGATTCAAGCGATGCGATTCAGCGGCGGACTCAACGGTACCTGGAGGCAGGTTGAGATTTAACGATCTTGAGTATTTCGAAACCATTAGTGTTGATTAAATCCATGTTCAATTTATTTTGCTCGTTTAACTTTTAGTTGCAACCTTAGCTCAAAAATGTAACCTTTCGTATTTTTAGCCTGTAAATATACCTATGCTTTTGTCGCTCTTGTAACTATACATATTTATTTTGAATAATTTTCGCAAGCCTTTAAGTTGCATATCCCGTTTGCGTTGCTATTGGTAAGTTTTCTTTCTGTTTCTTAAATGTTTATCCTTTTCGCCCGCATTGTTTTATACTTGTTTTCAAAAATCCGCTAACTTAAGGCATTTTTTTAAGTTTCTGCACGTTCATTTGATACGACTTTTATATGGTATGGCTAAAAATTAATAAATATCTTTTTTTTTTTTTCTTTTACAGAAATCAAGGCTCGCAAAAAGCATGCAAGTAAGTAATAAACAAAATATGCAGCCTTAAATAATTTTTTATTAAATAGCATAAACGTTTTTGATTCAAATTTTTATTTACACATTGGTAAATATAAATATCTCTTGTCTTTGCAGTCGAAAAAGATTTGGGCTTCCTGCGGATTGGTTCGCTGAATGTCCGGGTAAAGAAGACAACCGAGGCGTTCAGCAACTTCTTGGGAGTGGGCAATGGCAGTGGGGTGGGGGGGCCGCCGATGGGCTATGGCAGTGGCGGGGGAACGGGAGCGGGAGCAGCAAGTCGCCCTCACCATCGGTCTCACCGAGTCCCTCATCAGCGTCATCATCACCACGTTGGTACGACACGGAGTCGGCATCCGAATCAGAGGGCAGCGATGAGCACACCCTACGGAACGAACGGCGGCCTTCCGTCGAGGGCGAGTGTCCCGAATAACCGGAATATCTACGACGGAGTGCACAAGTCATGGGGATCGGCTGACAATATACCACACCGATCGGAGGACCTAATGCCGCCGCCCAAGACGGTGGACTATATCAGCAAGCGCAATAAGTCGTCCAAGCGTTCCTCCTACGCCTCGAATGCCACCGATTCGCCACGTGACTCCATTTGCTCCTCGAACTCCAGCTCCAATCTGAATGGAGGATATAGCAGCATGCCCACTACTCCGAATCAGCTGCGTGCTCCTAAAGGTATCGCTCCATCCTTCGCAGTGGATTCCGATTCGGACTCCGCCTGTGGATTTGACTCCAGTTGGTCGGTCAATTGTCGCGGATCTTCAAGCAGCAATCCTTCACAATCCTAAATACCTGAAAGAGTGTGTTAAACCACAAGCCTAAATGTCTACATACATATAACATACAACATTGACCATTTAATCGTAAAAGTATTTGTTTTTAATTAACTAAAATATATTTTTAGGAGTGAACATTATATAAGATTAAAGGATTTTTGTTTGTGAAAGTTTAATTTGAAATAACACTTGATTTGTCTTTGTCACACTTTGTAAACTCCTTTTAAGGATTTATAACACACATTATATATGTATTTTGTATTAAAAATTAAAGTTTTTATGCTTTTTGTTGCATTTATGAAGAAAATGTTGTTTATACTTTTTTATCGAAAATTAATATTATGTTCAAAAAGGATTTATATATATTTATACATTTTTGGAAAAAAACTAAATACTAATTATTTTATAAAATTTATACAACTGAACAATCGCGCGCTCTTTTTTCAAAAAACCCGTTAAGGTATTTCTCACAATTCCGTCGACCGTTCCGCAAAACATCTGGTAATTTTAAAATCGACTCTTCCTCTTCAACTCAATACCACACACGTGCGGCTAAAATTGTTTGTTGATTTAAATTTCGGAACCGAATTAAACCTTATAAAATGGGCAAGAAGGATAAGAACAAGAAGAAGGGCAAGGGAGCCGAGAAGACGGCCATGAAAACGGACAAAAAGCAGGCGGCTCGGCAAAAGAAAATGCTGGAAAAGCTGGGCGAAGTAATAATAAACACAATTGCTATCATATCATACTTACTAATATTACAATACATCTTAGGCTAATATTGCGGATATTATCCAATTGCTGGAGGCCAAGGAGGGAAAAATTGAAGCCATCAGTGAATCCGTCTGCTCACCGCCATCACCCCGATCCAATTTCACCTTAGTTTCGCACCCGGAAAAGGAGGAACTCATCATGTTTGGCGGGGAACTCTATACGGGAACTAAGACTACAGTTTTTAACGATCTATACTTTTACAATATAAAAAGTGGCGAGTGGAGGGAGCTGAGATCGCCTTCGGGTCCCACTCCAAGAAGTGGACACCAAATGGTGGCTGTGGCCAGTAATGGAGGAGAACTTTGGGTAAGATGGCTTTTATAGTTTACTAAAAAGCTTAAGGTAATACACCAAAATTATCCTCGACGGACCGCGAATTCCTAAGAATTTACATAAACAAATATAGGCGCGGACTGCATTGGTTCTCTTGTAATGGAATTTCAAAGTTACGTGTTTCTTAAGAATTCTTAAGAATTCGCGTTCCGTCAAGGATAATTTTTTCGCGAATTTTGGGGGTGAGGACCGTAAACTAGAGTATTACCAAACTTATAAATATTATACACATTTCCTAGATGTTTGGAGGCGAGCATGCCAGTCCCTCTCAGCTGCAGTTCCACCACTACAAGGACCTGTGGAAATTCTCCCTGAAATCCCGCAAATGGGAAAAGTTAACCGCCCCCAATGGGCCCAGTTCAAGGAGTGGCCATCGAATGACCGTCTCCAAGAAGCGCCTGTTTATCTTTGGTGGCTTCCATGATAACAATCAGTCCTATCATTATTTCAACGATCTTCACATTTTCTCGCTGGAGTCCTATCAGTGGTTGAAAACTGAGATCGGAGGAGCTATTGTACCATCGCCTCGTTCCGGCTGCTGCATAGCAGCTTCTCCGGAGGGCAAAATCTACGTTTGGGGAGGCTACTCGAGGGCCTCTATGAAGAAGGAGGCGGATCGCGGAGTAACTCACACGGATATGTTTGTTCTGAGCCAGGACAGTAAGTTTTTGTGGCTTATTTTTTTGCGATTTTACTAATATTTATCCCATTTTATTTTAGAAAACGCTGGCGATGCTGACAACAAATACAAGTGGGCACCCGTGAAGGCAGGAGGATATAAGCCCAAGCCTCGCAGCAGTGTTGGCTGCACTGTGGCTGCCAATGGCAAGGCCTACACCTTTGGTGGCGTCATGGACGTCGATGAGGATGACGAAGATGTACACGGGCAGTTTGGCGATGATCTCCTTGCCTTCGATTTGACCACTCAGACATGGCGGTTGCAGGAGATCCAAGCGAAGAGCAGCGCCGTTGAGAAAAAGGAATCGGAGGAGAGCAAGGATGTTGAGATGTCCGCCGCTCCCGATAAGCCCATTACCACCACCACCGATGGCATTTTCACGGTTACCGTTGGCGGACCCAGTACGAGTACTCCTTATGTCTCCCAAATACCGAGTCTTTTCTCTAAGAAACCAACTCCAACCAATGTACCATCGCCGCGCATGAATCCAGGCATCTGCGTTTGCAAGGGCACTCTATACATTTTCGGTGGAATCTTTGAGGAGGACGCCAAGCAATTGACCTACAACGATTTTTACTCCCTGGACTTGCATAAACTGGAATGGAAGGTTATCATCCCCAATAACTTAAAGGCCCACGACTGGGAGGATAGCGATAGCAGCAGTTCCGACGAGGAATGCAGCGGCGATGAGGATAGCTCCAGCGGCTCCGATATGGATACGGATTAGATACTTCAGATGACTATATATATTAAATTTGTTTAACAATCGTACACATGTATAAAAATGGAATATTATTGAATGTTGAGTAAGCTCGCTTGTCTCACAGCTCCAGAATCTCGGTGAGGATGCGTTGAGTATCCTTGGGGGTGTATACCCTATGGCTAATAGTTCTCGGATCGCTATAGATCTCGTAATCATTGCCGCCCGGCTCCGTTTTATCGCCGAAAAAGTGGATTTCCTTGAATTTGTAATAAGCTTCGATGTGACGCAGGCAGTAGGTTTTATCCCAACCGTGAGGGAAGACATCGAAACTGATCTGACCACCAATGGAGTACGTGAGATCCACGTCGGCAAACTCCTTCTTGAGATCTTTGATCATTTGCTCCCGCACCTTGTGTTCAATGTCGTATTCGGCGAACATATTCCGCTCCTCCCGGGTGCACTGACGTCCAATGGGGCAGACGTTCATCATGCCGTTTCGGAACTCGATGAAGGTTCCCCTCTTGATGGGCACATCCAATTCAGACAAGTACCGCAGGACAAAGTTGATGAAGCGCTTCAGGGTTTTCTCTCCCAGATGCTTGATGATGTTCTGCTTGCCCACCTCCTTGCCTCCCTCAATCTGCACCAGTCCATTCTCCGGGAATATAAAGTCGAACTCGTTTAGGATCTTCTGGCCGTTCAGCTGCTCGAACATCTTCTCCAGATCGGATCCTCCGACAATTCCGATGGTTGCCCTGGGCTTCACCTTAGAGTAGAAGAAGTCCTCGAACTCTGGCGTTACCACAGATCGGGGCATCGTTAAAGTCCCGTCCACGTCGAAGAGCAGGAGGATTTCGTCACGTTTCAGTGTTGCGGTACCCATTTTGCATTAGACTAATTGCGAGGCGCCCGATATTTATTATCCAGATATTTATGTCCACGTATGATTTGAGATAAAGAACCTTGTAAGCGGCAACGAGTTGGTGAGAAATACCCTAAAGCTTTAGCTGCACCGGCTAAGAACCAGTTCCGGAACCATGATGCACTCATAATTTATATTTTAAAAGGGTTTTCAAGGGATAAAAAAATATTTCAAATATCTTAATTATATTAAACCATTAATATCGATAGGATTTATGTGAGATCATTTGAACATACCAAATCCAAATATAATTTCATTCATAATTTTTCTCTTGACTTTATGATTTTTACAAGACATTTTATCAAGAAACTCAAGCGTTATTTAATGGAATTACAATATGGATTTTAAAAAATGATATATGAAAAAGATCGTTTAAAAAGTAATAATCAAATCATGCTTTTAATGACAATCAGCCTATTTTGTATTTAAATAGAGCTCAACATATGTACATTGTAGTGCGTTATAATTTAAACGAAAATACACATATTTTGGTTCTTAGGTGTACAACTAGAGTATTATGATCGGGGGTTCTACTGCCTTTTAATATGCTGCAGTTCATCTCTCTTTATCTTGCTGTATTCCTGCAGGGTTTTGTATTTCTCGGTGTTTAGCATCGGGTCCACAATCACAGGGTATAGAGTTAGTCCCACGGCGCCAACGATGCAGGACACAAAGCCCACGAATCTCCATCCACGTAGAACTGCCATTTAGCTGATAAAATTATAAATTTAAAATAATTTCTCGGTTTGTTATTATAAAACACAAAACACCTGGTTGGTCGTAATACGCTAAAAAAGGCCTCAGAAAAGGTCACACCATAGTGGTGTGTTTGCGGAAACTACAGTAAACACTAGTTAATATCAACTGGGATATAAAAGGTAAGCATTGGAAATTTAATTATTAAGTTTGGAAACTAAGATAAAAAATAAAAAAAATATAACATGACAATGAATTTAACAAAACATTTCTTTTACAAAAGACATGCATTGTTGGAAATATTTTCTATTAACGACTTAATGTTAAAATTGACTTAATATTTTATTTTAATTTGTTTAAAATTTTAATTTGGTTAACTTTTATTCTTAATCAAATAGCACTTCAGTGATGTTCACTGTAGGTACCTGTTGGTATTTTTTGAACGCAGTTTTGGTATCTTATCACTTTTCTGCCTTGGCGACACTTGGTATCTTGAGCTAGGCTTGGGTGTGGTGTATTGTTTGAGTAATTGTTTTCAAGATTGGTCTTTTTAGTTAAATAAATATATCCCGAAAATGGCTGCGAGCCCCGTTTTTGTGGCTCTAGTCGGCGCCCTATGTCTTAGCCTTGCTAACGGTAAGTTTGGTTTCGGAAAAGCCGAAATCCATGATTTCTTGGGCGTTGGCATGACTCCAAATAAACCACGATTTTACAGCACAACATCACTACGATGAGCACAAAACTAGCCAGTTAATTTGGTGCACCAAGAGCCAGGCGGAGCAGTACAAGTGCCAGAATCTCACAGTGGCCATCGAACGCGATCGGGCCTTGTTCGACGAGGTGTTCCTGAATCTCACCTGCTTCATGGCCTACAGTGCGGATGAGTGCATCCACCACATCGATCGCGAGAAGGCTCACATCACTTCGCTGGACGCGGGCGATGTCTTCACGGCGGGACGATACAACTCCCTCATTCCCATCATGCAGGAAAAACTGGAGGGCGGCTTTGCGGACTATCAATCGGTGGCCGTCATCAAGAAGGGATCTCTGCAGGGATTGAATAATCTCCACGACATGCGGAACAAGAGGGTCTGCTTCCCCTGGGTGGGAAGTCTGGCCGGATGGATTGTGCCCATTCACACGGTAAGAATAGTATTATTTTCAATATTTTTGAGATATAATTTTTTAAGGGCCGTTTTCTGGTCCGTTTGTTAAATTTAAACTAGGGCTGAAACACGGAAATCGTATGGGAAATCATTGTTCTAACCCTACTTTAAATTTAACAAAAGGACGAGAAAACGGCCCTTAAAAAATTATATCTCAAAAATATTGAAAAATAGCACAAAAAATGTTTATAGTTTAGTTTTTAAGGTTTCTAAATTTTCAATCAGAACAATTTTTTTAAATTCTTCAATTAAAAATTTTTTTTTCGATCGAAAATAGCTTATTAATTAAGGTTAATTGTTTCAAATATGTTAAAATATTGTTTTAAAAGTTTTAAGATAGACTGTGATTTCAAGTCGATGTAAATCACTGTTAAAATTCATGCCAAAAATTTGAAATTAATATTGGAAAAGTTTATAAAATATTTAAAAAATCTAATAAAAAAATCCCCTTAATTCACAGCTCCAAAGAGAGGGTGGCATGGAAGTTGTGGACTGCAACAATCAAGTAAAGACAGCTGCCAGCTATTTTAACAATTCGTGTGCCGTGTACTCACTATCCGACAAATACAATCCCATTGGCGACAACTCAGACAAGTAATACCCAAAGAATTATTTATTTTATAACCCTGAACTAACAAGAAATCCTTTTTTAATCCAGACTTTGTACGCTTTGCACTGGCAAAATTCCCGGAGGACGGTGTTCCTCTGCTGATCCTTACTTTGGCTACGAAGGCGCTTTCAAGTGTCTTTTGGAAAGGGGAGACGTGGCCTTTTTGCGTCATTCCACAGTAACTGAAATGCTGCAGACCACCGAGTTCAGTGAGTAATTATGGGCTGTCAATTGGGAATCCATTCTTAATTATAACCGAATTTTATAGAAAACCTGTCGCCCGACACTTTCGAGCTGCTCTGTCGCGATGGTCGTCGAGCTCCCATCAACGACTACCGACAATGTAATTGGGGCCAAGTTCCCGCCGATGCCATTGTCACATCTTCGGCTCGCAGCTTTGGCGATCGAAAGCAATACCAGCAGTTCCTGAAGCGCATCGCCGAGTTGTACTCGGATGGAACCCGTGATGAGCAAAGCAGGCAGGGAGGACAAGGATTTAATACGCGCAACAACTACAACGAGCAAGGCGCCTTCAACCAATTCGACAACAATGACCCCTACAGACCACAAAATCAATACGATCAGTATCGCAACGAACGATTGGACAGCAGTTTTTCTGCAGAGAGAAACCCGCAGGACGGGACAAACACCTCAATTCTGTATGAGAAGTTCCGCATCTTCGAGTCGAAACGATATGGCAAGCCGAACTTGCTGTTCCAGGTTTGTGGGAGATAATTTCTTGAAACTAAGAACCAACTTTAATGCAAATCTACAATTTAGGATTCAAGCCGGGCTCTTACTGTCATTCCTGAAGATGATCAGTCCTTTACCAAGTATTTGGGCCCTGCCATTAACTTTATTTACGGCATACGTGAGTGTCCAGTTCCAGCGATGACCCTTTGCGTGACTTCCGAGAACGAACTGGAGAAGTGCATCAAGATGAGGGTGAGTTGAAAATAGAGCCCTGCGTGAATCATTCAATTTTTGTTTTATCATATTTGTTTGTTTAATTGTTTAATTTGTTTAATTCAATTCTATGTGAAATAAATTGAATGTTTTTCTAATACATTTCGAATTGAATGAATGAATGAATAATTTTTATGAATTTGTTGATTTCTTTTTATGATTTCTTCTTCAAAAGAAATTGTCGTTTGAATTATTTCGGAATTCATGCCATTCATTCTTTTATACTCAAAATTCAAATTCATTCGATTCTATTAAACTCAAAATTCTAATTAATTCATTTATATAAAACAAAAAATTCAAAATAATTCATTGAATCGATTCATGCAGGGCTCTAGTTGAAAATTAAATAAAAAGAGGAGGTAGTTCTATTAATATTTTTGCAACCTTACAGACCGCTTTGAAAGCACACCTCCTGAAACCAGAACTCATCTGCAAGAAGATGCACTCGCACATAAATTGCATGCAGTACATCGAAGCGGGAAAGGCTGACATTTCGGTTTTCGATGCCGGCGATGTCTACACTGGCGGACTGAACTACGATCTGATTCCGTTCATGTCCGAGGTGTACAATCTGGGTGAGCCCGAGTACTATGTGGTGGCCGTGGCCAAGGAGGAGGATCCCGACACCGAGCTGACTTACCTGAAGGGCAAGAACACCTGCCACACGGGCATTAATACCGCCGCTGGCTGGACATATCCGATGGCTCTATTTATTTCGAATGGATGGATTCGTCCTTATGGATGCGATTCGGTTCGTGCTGCCGCAGAGTACTTCACCAAGTCGTGTGTACCGGGTGCGATAAGCAGTGAATACAACACCGGAGTGCCCTACGACAGCATGTGCGATCTTTGCCACGGGACTAGCTACAGATACTGTCGTCGCGATGCCTCGGAGGATTACTATGGACACACGGGTGCTTTCCGCTGTTTGGTGGAGGGCGGTGGCCATGTGGCCTTCATGAAGCACACCACGGTGATGGAGAGCACGGGCGGCAAGCGCAAGGAATGGTGGGCCAGGAATGCCCTCAACGACGACTTCGAGCTGCTGTGCACGGATGGTACGCGAGCCGAGATCCAGGACTACAAGAAGTGCAATCTGGGCAAGGTGAAGGCCAATGCCGTCGTGACTCGCGGGGGAGTCAACTACAACGAGACCCAGATGAATGCCTATATTAACCTGCTCACATATGCCCAACAACTGTACGGCCGCAAGGACGTGGACGCCTTTAGCTTTAGCATGTTCTCCTCACCGATTGGGCACTACGATCTGATCTTCCAGGATGCCACGCGGCAGTTGAGTGTCATTCCACCGAACAAGCGGCGATTCGATTCCTATTTGGGCAGCGATTTTATGCGTGCTCGCCGCATCACCGATTGCTATGCCGGTGCCGCCCAGGTGGCACTATCCGTAGGCCTGCTCCTCGTGGGCACCTTAGTGACAATATTCTGAGTCCCATATACTCGGTAAGATTTCCAAAATTGTACAAGCATCTCTAGCACAAAGAGAAACATATCAACCTTTTTACATTCCAAATATGATTAAGTTTAAAAGAGAGATCCCTTCCGTCCGAAAGAAAAATCAAATCATACTCCCCTTAGCCGAAAAATATCTGAAGAAGGCTATCAATTTATTTATATAGTGCCTGTGCCTTAATATAGTATTTGTTTGTGTACATACCAACTAAGTCCGTCCAAAAAAGTGTACCTAGGAAATGTAAGCCGAATCTTTTACAACAGCTTATAAGTATACAAATAAAATAATGAAATGAGAACGATTTTGATTTTATTTTTCAATCTGGTGGTTCGGGTAAAAATCTTTTTAATTTTAGTTGTAAGTCTTAATTTTAAACTACTTTCATTGGGATAAAAATGTTACTTTTTGTATTGTTATGTTCAATTTATTTTCGAGTTAAATTACTTTGTAGAATCTTTTAAATAATGGTTCTAATATTTTTTGAAGAAGCCTATTATCTTGGACGCAGTTATAACCGCCAAATTCAAATTGGGTGTCAGCGCTAACGTCATTATAAAATAATGCCTTTTTACAACTTTCCATGTAACTTTGTATGTAACCTTCAAATGCAAAGCTACTCTAAAAAAAGAATTTTTCCATAGAAATTTATAAAAACAGCGAAAAAAAATATTTAAAATTTCTGCAAAGTGTGACCATAATGAGACACCAGGAAAATGCATAACTCGGGCGTAACGGTGTTAGGACTCAGCGGTCACACCCGCCTGCAGAAGTTCGTAAATTTTTTTTGTTAATTTCGAAAGTCCGGAAAAACCGGACGGAACCTGCCACCTTGCTCTGGACCAGTTGCACCACCTTTAAACCGCAAGATGTCTATTAATCTCCGCACCGTCTACGCGTTCGCAAGGGA